GGGTGGTGGTGGTGAAAATGGGGAGCATCTGGTTTCCTGGAAGATGCAGCAAGGGTCAGGGTTCAAGTCAGGCCCATTGCTGACGGACATCAGTGGTCAGAACCCCCAGGGTGCCATTTCCCACAGTGGGTGTCATGTGGGTCCTGCATGAGACCGTGGACTCCGGTTACCTTGTTTAACCCTCAGCCCCTGCAGAGGTAGCACCGACCCCCGCACACAGGGGAGGAAACCGCCTCCAGAGGTCCCGCCACTGGTCAGCAGCGGGCTTGAGGCTGACTGACCACCTGCCTGTCCAGGCGTGTTGCCTGGCTGCCTCCACACCACAGCCCCCCTACAAGGTTGGCCTCACGGGAGTTTGGAGCCTTGCCTGGCTGCCCAGGGGAGCTGTTCCAGGCTGGCTGTGTGTGAGGACCTTGGAGTGACCTTGCAAGGGCTGCTTTCCTGTTGGGGCCATGGAGCAGGAGCAGGGGCCCTTTAAGCCTGGGCACACTCACAGTGCTAGCTGTTCCCTCTGCTGCCCTCCCCTGCACCCCCTGTGCCAGCCAGAGATCCACCTCACCCCCCACACCATGCTGTTGACACTTCCCTTTCCTCCTCTGGGTCACTACCCTCTGAGAAGCTGAAGAACTGTGGGTTTTTACTCCAGGAAATGAGCCTTCCCAGCTGGCCTGTGTGTGTCTGGTCGTTGACCTCTAGGATCCTGTCCATGCACCAAGGCTGGGTGCCCACCCTGGTCTGTGAACACTCGGTGCTCACTCGTTCTTTTTTCTCAGCACCCAGCGTGGGTGCCTGGCACCGGGAGCCAGTCAGTGGTTGCCGCCTGATAATCTGCTGGGGGGGTATCTGCCGTCTCTGGAGCATGGCTGGCTTCCCAGGTGCACTTGTGGCAAGAATAAGACCAGACTTGGCTTGGGGCCAGCTCCCCGCCTTCCTTGGCCACAGGCAGGACGGCAGCAGTCATCTGGTGCAGGCCCTGTGATGGGGTGCTGATGGGGGGCCCACCCTGCCTCTGCCGAGGAGTGAGCCCTCTTTGCCACTGCCCAGGCGCCTTGCCCGGCACGGGACCGGGACCCTCGGCCTTTGTCTGCACGGGCCTTCGTCAGACTCCAGGCATCAGGCCTCGCCCAGCCTGCCTGAAAGCGGCCACACCCTTCCTTTTTGTCCCCTGAGTGCCATCACCTTTTTAGTCCAAGGCACCTCATTCTCCCAGTGAGTCATGGTCAGACTTCCATTGCCTCAGACTCCTCCCTGTTCCTCAGAGCACTCAGGCACCCCTTGTCCTATCCCACTGCCACTGACCCGGTTCCGGCTCTTATCTGCAGCCCTGTCCCCAGCTTCCCACTGTCCTCCAGCCTCCAGCTCCCTGCCTTTGGCTCCCGCTCGCCCCGCCCCACGGGAGAGCAGTGACCCTCTGCCCGCCTCTGAGTCTGATTCTTGGTGAAGCACCGTGTGGGGAGTCAGATCTACCCCCGTGCAGACTGTCGCCGGGGCTGCAGAGAGAGCAGGTGAGGGGAGAAAGTGAAAGCTCAGCACGACCTTTGCAGACACACACAGTCTGGCCTGTTGTCCAGAAGCGTCCGTGCAGCCCTTTCCTTCCTGCCCTCGGGGTCTGCTGCCTCGTCCTCCCAGCCGCAGGTCTTCTCCGTGGCCCAGGCCATTCGTTTTTGCACCCGTGCATAACATCGGGCTGCTCGTCCCATTTTCATAGACAAGGAGACCGAGGTCACGGCGCAGCAGCAGGAAGCACGGCTGACACCTGAGTTCTGGCCCGGAGCCCGCAGCTCACACTATGCTGTGCCCCCTCGAGGCGTGGCAGGCCCATGGGCACAGATGGATGAGAAGCATTTGCCCTCAAGGAATTCGCCAGCTGCAGGGCCGGGTGGGCACAGGGGCCCAGAGTCAGGGGCCTGCAGCCTGCCCGGGAGGGGACCTCCCTCCTCCCTCCCCCAGCCCCGGGCATAGAGAGCTGGCAGTTCTGTGCCCAGGCTTGGAGGTGGTGTAGGAGAGGGGGGTGCAAACAGGACTGGGAAGGAAGGAGAGGCACAGGGACCTGGGAGGGGTGTGTGTAAGGGGCGTTCGGCAGTGAGTTGCATTTAAGGGTCTGGGGTGGGTGGGGTGTCTCTAGATCCCCTGAGATTCTGTGCACCTGAGGCCCCGCCTGCCTGTGCTCCTCCCACGAGCGTCTGCCAGGTCTGAGTGCACGTGGCCAGCTCTGAAGGTGGGAGCATGGGGGAGGGTGGGGGCGGGGCTGTTTCTAGAACCAAGTGCCACTCTTGACGCTCATCCCCTTGGTGAGGGTGCGGGGTGTCGGGAGGACCTCTGTGACCCTGGGCAAGTCCTTCCCCTTTTCTGACGGCGGTTGTCCTGCCAGCCCTTCAGTTCTGAGCCTGAGCCTCCCAGGCTGGGGGTGGGGGGACTGTGAGGCTTGTCTGCCCGCTGCCCCTTCCCAGGCAGGGAGGGTCCTGCCTTGTGACCTAGGCCAGGAGCGCTTAGAGCTGTCCTGTCTGCATCGCTGTCCAGCAGGAAGACTGGGTCCCGTGCCCGCACGTTTGTGGGGCCTGTGTCTCTGGTCACCTGCCCTTGCCCACGCGTGTATCTTCATTGTTCTTGAGTCCCTGCTCATGGCACTGCACCCAGACTGGGGCCCTCCTTACCCTCACCCTGTCTGCAGAGCTAATGCTGCACCCCACCCACCAGACTGCTGGGCATTTAAGAATGTTCTCTAGGTAGTTGGGTGTTTTCCATTGTATTAATGAATAACTTGGCCTTTGCCAGGCACGTGAGTGTCTCTGGGATTCCAGGTGGCGGCAGCACGGCTGCTGAGTGGCCCTTGCTCAGGGCTGGGAAGGGACATGGTGTTTGCAAAGGTTGCTCCCAAAGGCTGTTCCCGCAGTCCCCGCCTCTGCCAGCTGGCCCAGGTGAGCCCCGTGGAAGGGAGCCTTCGGGAGGGAGGGGCAGGGGAGTTGCCCAGCAGCCGCTTGGGGGAAGCTGAGCCTCCTCTTCTCTTCCTTCTGGTCCTTCCTCGCCAAGGGAAGCACCATCACCGTCCCCTTGGCCAGCACCTGGCCCTCAGGGAGCCTGCGGCCGGCAGGGCAAGGAGCTTTGTGTGCATGTCCTGCTGCTGGCTGGCTTCATCGGCCAGCATTTAGTCAGGGAGGGTGTGTGGGTCGGCCCAGCAGCCCTGGGGCCTGTGGAGAAGCCTGGCTTGGTTCTCAGCTACGAGG